CCCCCAGTCGATCCCAATACCATCCCACACCATCCCCAGGATCACCCAGTTCCTCCCAGTACTGTCCCAGGTCCTGCACTGGGAGTGGGGGTGGGACACCCAGACCCAGGGGGTTCACCCAGAGCCGGGGGGGGACAGCCAGTGTTGGGGGGGACACCCAGAGCTCAAGAGGGACACCCAGTGTTGGGGGGGACACTCAGAGCAGGAGGCCATCCAGAGCTGGGGAAGGGGACACCCAAAACTGGAGGGGACACCTCTACCCGGGGGGGGACACCCAGAGCTGAGGGGACACCCAGAGCTGGGGGGAGATACCCAGAGCTGGGGGGAGACACCCAGAGCCAGGGGGACACCCAAAGTTGGAGGGGGGGAACACCCAATTTTGGGGTGGACAGCTAGACCCAGAACTTTGGGTGACACCCAGTGCTGGAGGGGGGTCACCCAGAGCCAGGGAGGGGGCACCCAATGTGTGCTGGCACAGGGACCCCAGTGCTGCTCTGGGGGTCCCCAGTGCCACATGGGGAGCCCAGGGCTTTTTTTTGGCAGGGGGGCTTTCCCCCCTTTCCACTCAAGGCCCAGTGATCCCACAGGTGATAGGGAAACACCCTGAGGGGTCCCAGGACACTTTGGGGGGACACACAACACAGAGGGAGGGGAAATTTAGGCCCCCTGCCCCCCCCAGCAGCTCCACGCCCCTGTGAGGGGCCCCCCCAGCCCCCTTTTTGGGGGGGGATCCCAACCACACCAGAGACCCCTCCCCCCTTCCAGCCTCCACTAAACACCCTACTCCAGGGGGGTCCCCCAAAACCCAACCTCTTTTATTACAACAAAGCTGTACAGTTTGCGGGGGCAGTCCCCCAGCCCCCTCTACCCTGAGGGATAGGCCTTGATGATCTTGACGTCATCCAGGGGCCGGTCCTGGGCATTGGTCTCCACCATGGCCAGGCGGCCCAGCACGCCCATGCCCTGGCACACGCGCCCGAAGATGCTGTGCTTGCCATCCAGCCACTGCGCAGGGCCCAGTGTCAGGAAGAACTGGCTGCCATTGGTGTCCGGCCCCGCATTGGCCATCGCCAGGATCCCGGCGCCTGAGGGACATGGGGACAGGGACCTCGGGGAGGGACATGGCACCCCATGGCCAAGGTCTTATTATCACAGGGAACAGGTCACCTCATGGATGGGGATTCAGGGGACATGGGAGCTCATGGATGAGGACTCAGGGACATGTCACCTCAGAGATGGGGACTCAGGGACATGGGAGCTCAGGGATGGGGACACAGAGAACATGTCACCCCGTGGCCAAGGTCTTGGTATTATGGGAACATGGCACCTTATGGAAAGGGATGGAAAAGACATGGCACCCAATGGATGGGGTCCTGGGGGACATGTCACCCAGTGGAGGGGTCTTAGGGAACCTTAGGAAGAACTGGCTCCCATTGGTGTCTGGCCCTGCGTTGGCCATTGCCAGGATCCCAGTGCCTGAGGGACATGGGGACAGGGACCTTGTGGGGGGGGACACGGGGACCTGGACCTAAGGGGTGGGGACATGGGGATACAGGGACATGGACCTCAGGGGTGGGAACACAGGGACGTAGCACCCCATAGAAAGGGACATGGCACCCCATTGATAAGGTCCTGGTACCATGGGGGACATGCCATCCCATGGATGATCCCCCACGAATGGGGTCAGGGAGGACATGGCACCTCACGGTTGGGGTCCTGAGGGACACAGGGACATTTCAATCCAAGGATGGGGACACAGGGAACATGTCACCCCATGGCCAAGGTTCTCACACGATGGTGGCCATGACATTCCTATGGATGATCCTTCATGGATGGGGTCTTTGGGGATACGGGGGATGTGTCACACCATGGATGGGTCCTGAGGTCCTGGTGGATATCCCACCCCTTGACCAGGGTCCTGGGGATCCCAGGGGCCCCAGGGGGTCTTCCCTGCTATAGGTGGGGTCCTGGGGGTCCTGGGGGTCTTCCCTGCTATATGTGGGGTCCCAGGAGTTCCTGCCCTGCTATAGGTGGGGTCCTGGGGATTCCGGGGGTCCCAGGGGTCCTGCCCTGCTATAGATAGGTTCCCAGTTTCCCGGGGGTCCCAGGGGTCCAGCCCTGCTATAGGTGGGCTCCCAGTGTGCCGGGGGTCCCCCTCACTCACCAGTGAACTTCAGGTCAGGGTGCAGCTCATCCTCAAACTGCTTCCCGTAGATAGAGGCACCACCGCGGCCTGGGGGAGGATTTGGGGGGTCAGTGGGATCCCCGGCACCGGGAAGGAGGGGGGGGTCCCAGGGGGATCCCAGGGGGTGTCCCATGCTCACCGGTGCCCGTGGGGTCCCCACCCTGCACCATGAAGTCCTTGATGACACGGTGGAACTTGGTGCCATTGTAGTACCCGCGGCGGCTGAGCTCGGCAAAGTTCTTACACGTGCGGGGGGCATGCAGCCAGTACAGCTCCAGCACCAGGGATCCCATCCTGGGAATATTGGGAATACTGGGAATGAGAATGGCACTTGGAATGGGGTTGCACAGCCAGGACAGCTCCAGCACCAGGGATCCCATCCTGGGAATGGGAATACTGGGAATGGGAATGGGGCTGTGCAGCTAGGACAGCTCGAGCACCAGGGACACTGGGAATACCAGGAATGAAATGGGAACGGCACTGGGAATGGGGGCTGTGCTGCCAGTGCAGCTCCAGCACCAGGGATCCCATCCCAGGAATGGGAACAGTGGGAAAGGGAATGGTCCCAGGAAATGGGCTCACCCCACTGTGACTCCACGGGATCAGGGCAGAGGCACAGTGGGGGGAAGGGAGGGGATCGGGGGGCAATGGGGGGCAACGGGACACCGCGGGGACACTGGTGGAGCAACCAGGACTGGGGGGACTGGGGGATAACGGGGCTGGGACTGGCAGACACCGGGAACGACGGGACATGTTGGGGACACTGGAGGGGTCTCCAGTCCCGGGGGAGTAACCGGGGCTGCCCCGACTGGGAGACACCGGGAGCTTCTCCGTGCCCACCGGGGAACCAGGCGCTGCCCGGGACACACCCCGGGTCATGGACATCGGTGAACACTGGGGGGGCTGGGGGACATCGGGGGCTGCCCGGGACCGGGGGGACACCGGGGGTCATGGACACCGGGGGACCCTGGGGGGGCCTGGGGAACACCGGGGGGGGCCGGGGAACAGCAGGGGCTGCCCGGGGGAGGGGGGACACTGAGGGGGGGCTGGGGGGACACGGGGGGCTGCCTGGGACCGGGAGAACACCGGGGATCACGGACACCGGGGCTGTTTGATACTCGAGGGTCTGGAGGCTCACAGACCCCGGGGACTGCCCGGTCCCGGGGACTCACGGACACTGGGGTGGCTCAGGAGGGACCCCGGGGGTTGCCCGGTCCCGGGAGCTCGCGGTCAGTGAGGGCTGCCTGGTACAACGAGGGACCAGGGGGACACCGGGGGCTGGTGGTAACGAGTGGTCTGTGGGCTCATGGACCCCGGAGGTTTCCCGGGGGGGGGCTCCCTACCGGGAGTAGGGGGGTGGGGGTGGCAGCCCCCGCTGTCCCTGCTGTCCCCGCGGCAGGGGGCGGGGCTAGGGGGTGCGCGTGGCCTCTCCCGGTGCCCGGGAGAGGGGGGCCCGGGCCCGCTCCTTACGTGGTCTCCATGGACACCGTCGGGGGCTGCCACGAGTCGGGAGGCACGGCTGGCGCGGCGGCCATGGCGGGCGCGCGCTTCCGGGACACGCCCTCTTCCTGTCGCTACGAATGGAGGGCGGGAGAGGGACAACCAATCAGCGCGAGGCGCGCAGAGGAGATTGGCCAATCGACCTCGCGGAGTAAGTAGGGCCAGCCAATGGGTGCGAGGGGGCGGGGCCACCGCCGTTGAACCGCAAGGGGCGGGGCGGTTCGAATCAGGTCACGCCCCCTGCATGAAGTCACGCCCCCCGTGGCGCGCGCGGAGCGGGAGCCGGGGGTGGTGAGAGGGGAGGATGGTGGGGGGGAAAGGGGGGGGACACGGGACCGTCTTGAGGGGTTCGGGGGGGGCCCGGCGGGGAAACCGCCCGGCAGGGAAACCGCCCGGCAGGGCACGGGGGGACCGCGGGGAGCACGGATGGACTTCCCCCGTGCGGGGATGGGGTGACGCGGAGTCGGAGTGCGGGGCTGGGACCACCCGGAGGGGGCTGAGACCACTTTAGTGTGGGGCTGGGGACACCCAGGGATTGGGCTGCGGGGCTGGGACCCTCTTGCTGTGGGACTGGGATCCCCAGGGATGGGGGTGTGGGGCTCGGACCACCCAGTGGTGCTGGGACTCCCAGGGATGAGGGTGTGGGGCTCGGACCACCAGGAATCAGGATGTGGGGCTGGGACCCCCTTAATGTAGGGCTGGGAACCGCGGGGTTGGGGGTGTGGGGCTGGGACTCTCCTGTGGTGCTGGGGCTCTCTTACTGTGGGGCTGGGACGCCCAGGGATGGGGGTGTAGGGCTGGGACCCGCAGGGGTCAGGGTGAGGGGCTGGACCCCCGGTGGGGCTGCGACCCCCTTAGTGTAGGGCTGGGGACCCCCAGGGATAGGAGTGTGGGGCTGGGCCCCCAGGGATCGAGATGTGGGACTGAGACCCCTTTAGTGTAGGTCTGGGACCCCCGGGGATGGGGGTGTGGGGCTGGGACCCCCTCAGTGTAGGGCTGGGACCCTCAGTGTGGGGCTGGGACCCTCAGAGATCAGGATGTGGGGCTGGGACCCCCCAGTGAGGTCGGAACCCCCTTAGTGCGAGGCTGGGGACCCCCAGGAGTGGGGGTGCGGGTCTGGGACCCCCTCGTGGTTCTGGGACTCCCCTAGCATGGGGTTGGGGACCCCCAGGGATGAGGGTGCAGAGCTGGGACCCCCCATGCACGAATGGGGTGACGTGGAGTTGGAGTGCGGGGCTGCGACCACCTTAGTGTGGGGCTGGGGAAGCCGGGGAGTGGGGGGGGGGGGGCGGGGCCCCCCTTAGGATAGGGCTGGGGTGCCCCAGGGATGGGGGTGTGGGGTTGGGACCCCCCAGTGTGTCTCGGAGGACCGGGGCTGGAGCTGGGACCCCCTACTGTTGGGCTGGGACCCCCAGAACTGGGAATGTGGGGCTGGGACCCCCATATGTGGCACTGGGGACCCCCGGGCTGGGGGTGCGGGACTAGGACCCCCGATGTGGCACTGGGGACCCCCTGTTGTGGCACTGGGGATCCCCAAGGATCGAGTTGTGGGGCTGGCCCCCCCTCAATGTGGCACTGGGGACCCCCGGGTTGGGGGTGCTGCACTGTGAGTCCCCCGGGCGGGGGTCCCCGGTGTCCCCTCCCCGTCCCTGTCCCCGTCCCGATGACGCGGAGCCTGGCGGTGCCTGGCACTGGCACAGGCGGTGCCACCCGGGCACTGACCGGTGCCACCGGGTCCCCAGGGGGGTCGGGGACACTGAGGGGGGGTCAGGCCCTGGCGGGGGGACCCCGCCGGGGTTGGTGGTGACCCCCCCGCTCCCTCAGCAGCCCCGAGCCCAGGCGATGGCCGAGGACCGAGGTACGGCAGTGACAGTGGCAGTACCAGCCCCGCGTGTCCCCTGTGTCCTCTCCCCGTGCAGGGGGGCCAGGACTCGCCCCCAGTGTCCCCCTTGTCCCCTCCTCGCGCGGGGGGACAGGGGCTCACCCCCAGTGTCCCCCCAGATGTGCGATTTGTCACCGAGGAGAGCTTTGACTTCGGGATCCTGTCCCACTCTGACAGGTACGGGGGAGCTGGGGACAGGGGGGCACAGGGGGGACAGGGGGATGTGAGGGGGACAGGGGAACGTGAGGGGGATAGGGGGAGATGGGGGGGACATGGGAACTGGGGGACAGGGCGGGACAGGGGGACATGGGGGGAGAGGGGGATGGGGGGACATTCATGGGAGTGATGGGGACGGGGGGGCATGGGGGGAACAAGGGGGGGACTGGGGGACATGGATGGGAATGGGCAAGACAGGGGGACATGGGGGGGGAACAAGGTGGGGGCAGGGGGAGAGGGGAGACTGGGGGACAGGGCACCCCGCAGATGGGGACAGGGGGGACTGGGGGACATGGGGGACAGGGCACCCCATAGTTGGGACATGGGAGACAGGAGGGACATGATTGGGACATGGGGGGACAAGGGGGACATGGATGGGATTTGGTGGGCAGGTGGGACATGGCACCCCGTGGATGGGGACATGGGGGGACGGGGGGACATAGATGGGATTTGGGGGACAGGGGAGACAGGGCACCCCATGGATAGGGTTGTGGGGGGCATGGCACCTCATCCTTGGGGTCCTGGGGGACATGGTATTCTATGGGCAGAGTCACAGGGCATGTGCCACTCCACAAACAGGATCCTGGGGGTCCTAGGGACATCCCACTGCATATATGTGGCTCTGGGGGATGTGTCACCCCATAGATGTGGTTCTGAAGGTCCTGGGGGATGTGTCACCCTGTGGGTGGGGTCCTGGGGGTCATGAAGGATGTGTCACCCCATGGATGTTGTTCTGGGGGTCCTGGGGGTCCTGTGAACATGACCCCCCCAGATGTGGCTCTGGGGGTCCTGGGGGTCCTGTGGACATGCCCCTCCCCCCCATGGATGTGGCTGTGGGGGTCCTGAAGGATGTGTCACCGTGTGAGTGAGGTCCTGGGGGGCCTGGGGGATGTGTCACCCCATGGGTGGGTCCTAGGGGTCCCGTGGACATGCCCTCCCCAGATGTGGTTCTGGGTTCCCGGGGGTGCCATAACTGGGGTCCTCGCTGAGGTGGGGGATCCGTGCCACCCTTGCGGTGGGGGGGAAGTGACAGCGGGGGGGTGGTGGGGACAGTGCTGAGCCCCCCTTTCTCTCCACCCCAGCCAGGATGAAGAGGAGGACGAGGAGAGCCTGGGTGGGGGGTCCCGGCGCGGGGGGGGGGGGCAGCGGGCGTTGGAGCCCCCTGCGAGGTGCCCACCTGGAGGAGATGGTGCGTGAGGCCACTCGCTTGGCCGCCCAGCTCGAGGGGTGTCACCTGCCCCCCCCTGCCCCCGGGGACCCCCCTGGCCCCGCCGCCACCCCCCCAGGCACGCCCCGCAGCCCCCGGCGCCAGACGTTCGTGGTGAAGGACAGCCCGGTGAGGGCACTGCTGCCCACCGTGGAGTCCCAGGCACCGCCCCCCGCCAAGACCCGGGGGGGGCCTGCTGCCACCGCTGTCCCCAAAGTAAGTGACACCCCGGGGGGTGTCCTCATCCATCCCCCTTGTCACCAGCCATGGGTCCCCCCTGTCCCCATCCATGTCCCCCCTGTCCCTCCTGTCCCTCCGTCCCCATCCATGTCTTCCCATCCCACCTGTCACCATCCATGGACTCCCCCTGTCTCCTCTGTCCCCCCGTCCTCATCCAGGTCCCCCATGTCACCCCCGTCCCCCATGCCCCTCTGTCCCCATCCATGTCCCCATGTGCCCCCTGTCCCCTCTGTCCCCCACTGTCCCCCCATCCCCTCATCACCATCCATGTCCCCCCTATTCCCCCTGTCCCGTCCTTGTCCCCCTGTCCCCAGGGGGCACCACGACCCCCCACTCCCTTGCTGAGCACTGTCCCTGTGTCCCCCCCCCCACCTCTTTGCAGACCTCCCCCAGCCGTCACTTCACGGCAGCACCCAAGGGCCCCCCCGGGGGCAAGGGCCCCCCCGGGGGCAGGGGACCCCCCCCCCAGCCGCGGGGGCCCGCCCCGGCCGTGCCTCACCCAGGGGCAGGGGAGCAGTGCCAGGGGCAGGTCGGAGCCCCCCCGGGGAGCCATGGCAGGTACGAACGAAGCGGGGGGGGCACGGGGACACCATGCCCATGGGGAGGCCCAGGCGGTGCCCCCATGCCCCCCTCTCTCCCCAGGCCAGCCCAAGGCGAGAGGGGGCCTCGCTCCCTGCCCCTCCCCCGCCTGCCAGCCCCACACCAGGAGCACGGCCCCCCCGGGCCCTTCAGGCCGTCCCCCAGCCCCCAGCGCCCTCCCCAAGGTGCCCCCCCGGCCCCCTGCGGCGGGTGGCAGGACCTCCACCCCCCGAGGTAAGGGCGGGGGGGTTCTGGGGGGGCGGGGGCCCCCTGCCGTGCCTCAGTTTCCCCACAGTTTCCCTCCCCTTTGCAGGCACGGGAGGGGCGCGGGGGGCCCCCCTCACCGCAGCCTCGGCCTGCAAGGCGGGATCCCCCCCTGCCCGCCTGCGGCCCCCCCGCAAGACGGCAGTGAGCAGCACCCCAAGGTGACACCCCCAGGGCCCCCCCCGTGCCCACCCAGGGGGCTCGGCATGCCCGGTTCCCCCCCCCCAGCCTGGTGTGCGGTGGGGGGAGACAGAACCGGGACCCCCCCAGGGACGAACGAAAGCACTCTCTGGGTTTTGGAGTGGGGGGGCAGAGCCAGACCCCCCCCAGGATCAAACCAAGTTGCTCTCTGGGTTTTGGGGGGGGAAGGAGGGAGCAGAGCCGGGACCCCCCCAGGGACAAACCAAGGCACCCTCTGGGTTTTGGGGTTGGGGGGAGGCAGAGCGGGGGCCCCCCCAGGGACGAACCGAGACACCAACTGGGTTTTGGGGTGAGGTGGCAGAGCTGAGCCCCCTCTCCCCCCACGACTGACTAGCCAAGGCACCCACAGGATTTTGGGGGGGGGGGGGGGGGGCCGGGCCCCCCCAGGAAAGACCTGAGGCACCCTCTGGGTTTTGCTTTAATTACGAAAGGTCCCGTCAGCCATAGAAACCCCCCCACCCACCCCTCAGCATGCAGGGTTCTCTCTCCTCCTCCCCAACCCCCACCCCTGGGTGCCCCCCCTAACCCCTACCCCTGGGGGGGGATGGGCAACTATGGGGGGGGGCTCAGAAATCCCTGCACCCCCCACCTGACCCCACCCCGGGGGGGGGTTGGCACCACAATTGGCACCACAATTGGCACAATGGAGGGGGGGTTGGCACCTTGAGGGAGGGATGGCACCTTTGGGGGGGCTTGGGGGGTTGGCACAATGGTGGGGGGTTATAAATCCCTTTTTTTTTGTATTTTCATGTATTTTTTAAATAAAATCCTTTGCCGGGCATGGAGGATGATGACTGGGGGGGAGGGTAAGGGGGGGGCACCTGATGCCACACCCCCTTCCCAAGGTGCCAATCCCTGCCAGGATCCAAAGTGCAACGGGGAGAGAGGGGGGCTGTGCCTCCTTTCCCCTCCTCCCCAATCCTGGTGCCCCCCCCACAGTCCCGGTGCCCCCCCCAGTGTCCTGGTGCCCCCCTGGCACGTGGGGGGCAGTACCCGCTGGGTGGGTCCCAGTTAGATCGAGGTCTCGTCGCTCCTGGGGGGTGAGGGAGGGGATGGATAAAATGGGGGGGTTGGCACAAAGTGTGTGTTGGGGGGGGATAAAAAACAAGACAGACGGATGCGTGATGGGGGGTTGCCAGGGTGCCCTCTGTGCCCCCCAGCACTCAGTGCCCGCCCTGGGGGGATGATGGAGGGGTGGGGGGGGGGTGAGGGGAGGCAGGACCCCCCCATGAGTTAATGGAGAAAATTAAAGAACAGAAATCTGGGGGGGGAGGAGAGAAAAACCGGGTTAGTGCCAACGGTGCCAACCCCCCCCGGGCACCCCCATCCACCAAGGGGGGACAGCGGGTGTCTAACAGGCACCCAATGGGCACCCCAATATCCAGTGGGTACCCAATGGACACCCCAACACCCAATGGGCACCCAGTGGACACCCCAATATCCAGTGGGCACCTGGCAGGCACCCCAATATCCAATGGACACCCCAAAGACACCCAACAGGCACCCCAAGGGATGCCCCAACACCCAACAGGCACCTAATGGGCACCCCAATATCCAGTGGGGACCCAATGAACACCTCAACACCCAACGGACATCCCAATATCCAGTGGGGACTCAGTGGACACCTCAACACTCAAAGGGCACCCAATGGACAGTCCGACATCCAATGGGCACCCTAACACCCAACAGACACCCAGCGGGTACCCCAAGGGGTGCCCCAACACCCAACAGGTACCTCAACATCCAATGGAACCCCAACACCCAGTGGGCACCTTAACACCCAATGGACAGCCCAACGCCCACTGGACACATGGGGGCCACCCCAATATCCAACGGGCACCCAATGGTCAATGGGCACCCAACAGGTGCTGCTAGACCTGATGGTCACCCAATGGGTGCCCTTTGGGTGGTCAATGGGGGCACTCAGTGATCAGTGGGTACCCAGTGGGCACCCAACGGGAACTCTTGTGCCCCATGGGCACCAAGAGGAGCCCTGGCACACAGTGGTCTCCTGTCAGTTACCCTGGCACCCAGTGGGCACCCAGTGGGCACCCAGCAGCCACCCTTAAACCTGATGGGCACCCAAAGAGCACCCAGTGGACACCCAAAAGGAGCCCTGGCACCCAAAGAACACCTCATGGGCACCCCATGGGTACCCTTGAACCCAGTGGGTGCTCAAAGGAAACCCTGGCACCCAAATGGCACCTCTTGGGCAACGTGGCACCCAATGGGCACCCAGTGGGATCCCTGGCACCTGATGGGTGCCCAAAGACCACCCTCACACCCAGTGGGTGCCCAAAGGTAACCCTGGCACCCAAAGACCCCCCCGATGGGTACCCAACAGCCACCCTCACACCTGATGAGCACCCAAAGGGCACCTCTTGGACACCCTGGCACCCAATGGGAACCCTGGCACCTGATGGGTACCATGGCATCCCATGGGTACCCAACAACCACCCTGGCACACCGCTGACACCCAAAACCAACCCGGGCACCCCAAGGACTCCAAATGGACACCCAGGAGCACCCCAGGCACACACTGGCACTCACTCAGAGCCAGAGGAGTCCTCATCAGCAGTGCCCGCGCGGATGCTCATGGAAATGGGGGTGAGGCCGCTCAGCTGCTCCTCGAGGCTCTGCCGGGCCCGGGGGGCCAGGGGGGCACCCCCGTCACTGCCTGACGAGGTGGCCGTGCCCGCAGGGGGCGGCAGGGGGGGCCCGGGGCGCTGGGCACTGCCCCCCCGCTCGCTGATGGGGGGCAGGCACTTCTTCTTCAGGATCCCTGCAGGGAAGGGGGCATCACCCGGCAGGTTTGGGGGGTACCCATCTCACACACACCCCCTGGCACCCAAAGGGCACCCGGGAGGGACCCTGGCAACCAAAGGGTGCTCAGTGGCCATGCTGGCACCCATTGGGTGCCCAAAGGGAACTCTGGCACCCAAAGGGTATCCAATGGGCACCTTGGCACCCAAGGAGTGTCCAAAAGGACCTCTGGCACTGGATGGGCACCCAAAAAGAACCCTGGCACCCAAAGGGTGTCCAGCGGGCACCCGGGCACCCAGTGGGTGCCCACAGGAAGCTCTGGCACCTGATAGACACCTGAAAAGTACCCTGGCATCCACCGGGCACCCTCGAGCCCATACCTTTGTGTGGGTGGGGCAGGGGCAGCAGCAGGGGTTCCCTGGGCAGGGCCTCCCCGTTGGGCCTGGGAGGGTCTCCCCGGGGGGGTCCCCCTGCCCCCCCTGCCGGCTGCACCCGCAACCCCTCGGTGCCCGCCATGCCCTCGCTCTCGCTCGCCGTCGTCACGAACTCCCCGGGCCAGTACGGGCACCCCGGGGGCATCCGGGGGCCACCTGCAGGCAGGGGGTTGGTGGGATGGGCAGGGCCAGGGACACCCCCCCGGCCCCCGTGGATGCCCCCCAGCAGCAACGAGCCAGGGCCAGGGTCCCCCCAAACCCACTGGGTGCCCCCCTTCAGCACCCCAGACTGGGGGAGGGACTCCCCTCATACCCACTGTACCCACTGGTGCCCCCCAGCAACACCGAGCCAGGATCAGGGACCCTCCCCAACCCCACTGGGTGGACCCCCGCCCCAGCACCGGCCAGGCCAAGGGTCCCTCCACCCCCAGCGGGCGGACGTTGGCTGTTGGGGGACCGTTACCGGGGCCGGGGGGGGCCGGGGGAGCCCCAGGCAGGGAGTCCCAGCAGGGGGGGGGCTCGTCGTCGCTGTCCGACGAGTGGGTGGAGCCGTAGGAGCCACTCGGGTCGTCCAGGGACAGGTCACTGTCCGAGTCCGTGTCGTGCTCTGGAGGGGTCACGGCTCAGGGGGGGCCCGGGGACAACCCCCGTGCCCCCCCACAGGTGGGGATCGTTACCCTCGGGCTGCTCCTGCGCGTCGAAGAAGAGTCCCCCGGGCTCGGGCAGCGGCCCCGGGCTGCCCGCCAGCCCCGAGTCCTCCCTGGGGGGGGGGGCATGGTAGTGTCAGTGCCTGGCACCCCCCCGGGGCCCCAAAACCACTGATAGACACCCCTCGGAACCCCAAAAATACCGACAGACACCTCAACACCACTGACACCTCCCAGGACCCCAAAACCACTGCCAGACACCTGCTGGGACCCCAAACCCACTGCCATCCCACCACCCCATCCCTGTGCCCAGTGTAGTGCCCCCAACCCACCAACTGCTTAACCCACCACTACCACTCCATGACCTGCCACTCCACTGCTGTGCCCCCACCAACCCCGCAACCTACCCCACCACCCCATGACCCTGCCACCTCCCATGCCCATTGCCATGTCCCCCCCCCCCCCCCCCCCGGGCCCCCCCCCCCCCTTGAGCCGTGCCATCCTGCCACCACCCTGCCACCCTGCCACTGCAGTGCACCCTGCCACCACCTCACCACCCCCTCACCCTCTCACCCCAACACCCCAGGGCCATGTCACCCCACTCCCCCATCACCTGCCAGGGCCCTGCCACTGCCCCGCCATCCCGCCACATCAGTGCCATCCCCATTGTCCCCCCGTGCCACGCACGGTGCCCGCCGTGCCCGCACCTCCTGACGAAGGGGATGTAGCTGTGATGGCTCTTGCCTGACCGGGCTGTGCTGTGTAATGACCCCGAGGACCCCCCACCCGGGGGGGGGGCACAGCGGCCCTGCCACGTATGTGCTGTCCCCGCTGTACGCCTGGCACAGGCACAGGGACGTCATGGCCGGGCTGCCCCGAGCCCCCCCAAGCCCCCCAGGGGGCTGGAAACGGGACGGGGGCATCACAGCCGTGCCGGGGTGCCCCGAGCCCTCCTCTGTCCCCCGGGGGGCTGGCACGGGGATAGGGACATCGCAGCCCTGCCAGGGGCTACCCCAAGGCCCTCTGAGCCCCCTGTGCCAGAGACAGGGACGACACAGCCGTGTTAGGGGCTGCCCCAAGCCTCCCCAAGCCCTCCATGCCCTCCGGGGGCCTGGCACGGGCACAGGAATGCCACAGCCCAGCAAGGGGCTGCCCCCCCCCCCCCCCGTGCCAGGGACAGGGATGACGCAGTCATTCCAGGGACTGCCTCGAGATCCCCCGGCACCCCCAGCAAACCCCGGGGAGCTGGCACGGGGACAGGGACGTCACAGCTGTGCCAGGGATGCCCCCAGCCGCCCCCCAGCTTCCCGTGTTTCCCAGGGGGCTGGCACGGGGACAGGGACATCACAGGGGTGCCCTGAGCCCCCCGTGCCCTCTCCCGTGCTCCCCCCCATCCCCCCCAGCACTCACGGGTGTCAGGGTGGCCTTGGTGGCCAGTGGGGGGTGGTGGCGGCGGGCACAGCTCAGGTGGAGGCTCCTCCGCACCTCCTTGCTCAGCACCACACAGGACAGGAACATGAGGGGCCCCTGGGCACACGGGGGGGCACATGGGCATGGGGGGCACAGGCGAAGGGTTGGACAGCCTCGTGGGGGACCCCAGTGCCACCTGAGGGGGCTCCCAGAGACGTGGGGGGCACCCCTTTGGCACCCCAAACTGGGTGAAGGGACTCCTCCACACACGGGGTGCCCCCCATGGGCACCCTGGATACGGTGAGGGACCTCCCCCCTGTGCCCACTGGTGCCCCCCAAATGGGTTTGGGACTCTATGGGCTCTGGGAGTCCCAGGAGGGAAGGTGCCAGGGCTCTCTGGGGGTCCCAGGGTGGACTCTGGGGGTCCCAGGGGTGGGGGCTCTGGACTCTCTGGGGGTCCCAAGGGGTCTTGGGGGTCCCAGGGTGGGCTCTGGGGGTCCCAGGGGTGGTGGACTCTGGAGGTCTCAGGAGTGGAGGTTCTCAGCTCTCTCAGGGTGGGCTCTGTGGGAGTCCTAGGGTGGGGGCTCTGTGCTTTCAGGGGGTTCCAGGGAGCGATGGGAGTGCCTGCTGACCTGGAGGCAGTTGGAGGCAGCAAACAGGTAGTGGCACAGCAGGGCATCACTGTTCACCGACAGCAGGGCCAGCAGCCAGGCCAGGCTGGGCACAGCCAGGAGCACGGCCGCTGTGCGGACTCCCGACCTGGCACCCAACAGTGCCCCAGTGTCACCCAACAGCACTCTAGTGTCACCCCAGTGTCACCCACACCACCAGCACGGCCGCTGTGCGGACCCCTGACCTGGCACCCCAGTGCCACCCCAGTGCCACCCAACAGCACCCACAGCAGCAGCACGGCCACTGTGACACCCCCAACCTGAGCACCCTGATGTCACCCCACTGTCACCCCATGTCAGAGCCCCCTGTACCTCCCCCCCACCGTGGGTGCTCCAACACCCTGTGCCCCCCCACCCTCCACGGGCACCCCAGCACCCCAGACTCCCCTGTCCTCAGTGCCCCCCTGCCCCCCCACGGGTGTCCTGTGCCCCCCTGACCCCACAGATGCCCCAAGGAGGGCATTAAAGCCCCCAATATTGCCCTGCCCCCAATGCCCCCTGCCCCAAATGCCCCCTTACCCCCCATGGGTTCCCCTGCTATCCCCCCAGTGCCCCCTTGTCCCCAGTGCCTCCCTGCCCCCCTCAGTGCCCCCAATACCCTCCACCGGTGCCCTCTTGTCCCCCAATCCCCCTTGCCCTCCTTGGGTGCTCCCCTTGGCCCTCATGGGTCCCCCTGTGCCCCCAGTGCCCACCATTGGTTCCCCCCTGCCCCCTATGGGTGTCCCCCATGCCCCCAATGCCCCTCATGCCCCCCTGTCCCCCATAGGTGCCCCCCATACATTCCACGGATGCCTCCTTGCCCCCAATGCCCCCCTGTCTGCTGTGCCCCCAGCCCCCCGTGAGTGCCCCCTGCCCCCAGTGGCCCACCCCAGCCCCCCGTGAGTGCCCTCTGCCCCCCATGGGTGACCCCTCGGGGCACTCACGCCGAGCCCTTCTTCTGGAAGCCCTGTGGGGTGGTGCACGCAGCCCTGCCTGCCAGCACCAGGAAGAAGATGCCGACCTGGGGGCGAAGGGGGTGAGCGGGGCGGCTGGGTGGGGGTCTCCCCCGCCCCCCTCGCCCCCCCAGCCTCCACTCACGGCGAGGGCAGCGGCGGCGGGGCCAGCCAAGCTCCACACGAGGGGATCGTGCAGGGCCAGCCAGCAGAACTCGGGGGTCCCGTAACCCTCGGGGTCCAACCCCACAGCCAGGCCTGCAAAAGGGGGTGCAGGGGCGGGGCTGAGAGGGGGCAGGGCTAAGGGGTGGGGCTAAATGGGGCATGGGTGGGGCAGGTGAGGGGGTAAGGTCAGGGGTGGGGCTGCTTCAGGGGCAGGGCTATGCGGAGTGGGGCTTTGATGGCAGGGGGGCGCTGGGGATAAGGGGGCGCCTGTGAGGGGCTTTGGGGGCACAGAGGGGACCCATGTGGGACTTTGGGAGGCATTGGGGACAAAGGGGCACCCATGGGGTGCTTTGGGGGCATGGAGGGGACCCATGGAGGGCAGAGGGGCACTGGGGGCTATTCTGGTTAGGGTAGGTGCAATTCGGGATTGGGTGGGGCTATTCTGGGTTGGGGCGGGGCTATTCCAAAGTGGGTGTGGCTACTCTGCATTAGGGTCGGGTTATTCCGGAATGAGTGGGGCTATTCTGAAATGGGGGCAGGGCTATTACAGATTGGGGGTGTGGCTATTCTGGATTGGGTGAGGCTATTTGGGATTGGGAGCTGGGCTACTCTGGATTGGGCTGGGGCTATTCTGGATTGAGCGGGACTATTCCCTATTGGGGGCGGAGCTCTTCTAGATTGGGCCACCACTGAGAAGGGGGCGGGGCCACCGGAAGGCGTTGGCCCAGGTGGGCACCCGGCACCAGGTGGGCTGTGGGGTGGGGGTGGGGCCGGGGTCAAAGTGTAGGGCGGCACTCACCGGTGATGAAGGCAGGCAGCCCCCAGCCCAGCACGTGGTAGAAGCGCATGGGCCCCCTGTCCACGCTGCGGGGCTCGCTGCGGCGCCGGTACAGGTGAAGGGCCTCCAGCAGCCCCCAGCCCACCGCCCCCAGGTACAGGAACTGCAGCAGGATGGCCACCACCGTGCAGGCCAGCTGGGACACACGCACCCCCATCAGTGGGTCTGCCCCGAGCCCAGCCACACAGTCCCATCCACCCAGGATGGCCACCACTGTGCAGGCCAACTGGGACACCCCCACCTCTGTCGCTGGGTGTCACAGAGCCCACCCACCCAGGATGGTCACCAGATGGGCCACCACACCCCCTCACTGGGTGTCACTGACCCCACCCACCCAGCCCACCCACCCCCAGATAGAGGAACTGCATCAGGATGGTCCCCACACCCTGTCACTGGGTGTCACTGAGCCCACCCGCACTGTGCAGGCCAGCTGGGACACATCCGCACCCGTCACTCATTGTCACTGACCCCCCCCCCCCCGACCCCCGCACCCCCAGGTACAGGAACTGCAGCAGGATGGTCCCCACACCCCCTCACTGGGTTCACTGGGTGCCCACTGACCCCTCCAGCTAGCCCTGCCCGCTCCACCCTGCCCACCACACTCGGGCACAGGATGGCCCCCACGGTGCACACCCCCTGGGCCACATCCGGTCACTGCCATGCCCACCGGCCACACTCAACGAGTCCCCCCCACCAAAACCCCCCCCTCCCCCCTTTCCCCCCCCTTTCCCTCCCACCCTCGCCCCCCCAACCTCCCCAGTGGTGGACCCCCAGCCCCAAAACCCCAAATCCCAGCAGTCTCCTCCCTTTCCCCCCCCATTCCAGCCACTCCCAAGCTGTGAATTCCCCAACCCTCAACCCAGATCCTCCCTGTCCCTTTGCTGTCTCTGCCCTGCTCACCGGGAGCTCGGCCTGGTTGATGCCGAGCAGGAACACGAGCTGTGCCAGAAGTAGGGCGGCGGCGCCGTGCCGCCGGATGCTGTGGCGGTTGGAGTGCAGCCCCCGCAGTGTGCCCAGGGCCAGCACCACCAGGACCAGCCCCGCCAGGGCCACCCCCAGAGAGCCGTAGGTCAGGGCCGCCAGGGGCAGCACCTCCCCGTTCTGCAGGGAGACACGCCCATGGACATGCCCCTCCACAGGGACATGCCCAGGGACACACCCATGGACACGCCCATGGATACGCCCATCCACAGAGACATGCCCAGGGACATGCCCATGGACATGCCCATCCACGGAGACATGCCCATGGACACGTCCATGGATTCGCCCATGAACATGGACACACCCATAGACACACCCATGAACACATCCATGAGCACACCCATGGATACGCCCATGGACACACCCATAGACAGGGACACACCTATGGACACCCATGGAGCCATCCATGGACACACCCATCCACAGGACACACCCATGAACATGCCCATTGACACGGACATGCCCAAGGACAGGCCCACGGACACAGACATGCCCATGGACATGCCCATCAACAGAAACATGCCCATGGAGAGAGACACACTCCCTCCGTACAGCCCATCCAGTCACTGGGCCTGGGAGGCCTCACCCACAATGCCACACCCCAATGTGAAACCCCGCCCACATCATTCATCCCTGCCCCTTTAAGCCCCACCCACATTGCCCCTGTCTCTTGGAGACCGACCTGCCCAACTGCTATTGGCCCTGCCCCAAGGGAGCCCCACCCATCCTGATCAGGCCTGCCCACTGAAGCCCCACCCACCTTCCTCAGCCCCACCCTCACAGGCACTTATCCCTGCACTGACCCTGCCCCATTAGGCCCCTCCCCTTCTGCTAAGACCCTCCTACCCCTGTCCCCTCCCCTTTATCACCAGCCCCTCCCCTGCCCCTGTAGCCCTGCCCCTATGCCAGAAACTGCCCACTAACCTTGTGTGCCCCATGTCCCCGTGTCCCCAGCAGGGCCCTGTCCCCACCCTGTGTGCCCTTCCATGTCCCCTGTGTCCCATCTGTCTCCCCCCATGTCCCTGTGTTCCCACCAGGGCCCTGACTCAGGTCACCCCATGCCCCAGGGTTGCTGTGTCCTATCTGTTCCCCTGTGTCCCCATGTCCTCTCTGTCCCCATACCACTGTGTTCCCATGGCCCCATATCACCCATGTCCCCCCATGTCACCCATGTCCCCCCGTGTTCCCATCACCCTTGTGTCCCCATGGCCCCCATGTCCCCTGGTATCCTCATACCCCCATGTTCCCATGTCCCCCCATGTCCCCCCATGTCCCCATATCCCTTCATGGATCCATGTCCCCTCGTGTCCCCATGTCCACATGTCCCCCACCCCTCCAATGTCCCTTCATGTCCTCATGTCCTTGGCGTTCCCATCCCCCCATGTCCCCCACCCCTCCCATATCCCCTCATGTACCCATGTCCCCTGGTGTTCCCATCCCCCCATGTCCTGCCATGTCCCCCAGTGTCCCCCATGTCCCTGGTGTCCCCATCCCCCCACGTCCCTCCATGTCCCCATGTCCCTGGTGTTCCCATCTCCCCATGCCCCCCCATGTCCCCCCGTGCCCCCAGTGTCCCCCTGTCCCACCTCCCGGCGGGATATGTCCATGAGGACGGCGAAGCTGGTCAGGTGGTGACACTGGCAGCTCACGTGGCTCCGGTTCCTGAAGGCGACCTCGCAGCCCCGCGCCGACCAACCCCCTGCACCACCCGTCCTGCGGGGACCCGCGAGGACATCACTGGGACATGATTGACACAGCCACACCCACCGAGACACACCCACCGGGACACAGACCAACCCCCAGTGCCACCCATCCTGAGGGGACCCGCGGGGACACCACGGGGACGTCAGGGACACACCCACACCCATTGGGACACACTCCCAGTGCCACCCACTCTGCAAGGACCCGCGGGGACACCGCGGGGACGTCAGGGACACACCTACACCCACAGGGGTGTCCCTGTACCCCCTGGGCTGTCCCTGTGCCCCTCGGAGTGTCCCTGTCACCCCCTGGGTTGTCCCCATTCCCTGGAGTATCCCTGTCGCCCCCCGGGCTGTCCTCATTCCCTGGAGTGTCCCTTTCTCCCCCGGGCTGTCCCTGTCCCCCCAGGTTGTCCCTGTCACTCCCAGGGTGTCCCCATTCCCCCCAAGTGTCCCTATCCGCTGGGCTGTCCCTGTGTCGCCCCCCCCGCAGTGTCCCTGTCCCCCGGGGTGTCCCTGTCCCCCCAGAGTGTCCCTGTCCCCCCAGGGTGTCTGTGTCCCCCCTCACCGCAGGGAGTGGTTCCAGAACACGCAGATGGGCTTGGAGCGTTCCTGCGTCTCCAGGAGCCGGAACTGGAGGGTGACAGGCTTGACCAGTTCCCGGGGGGTGCCTGTGCCCGCCGTGCCCCCCGCGTGGACACTGATGCTGACCACGGGTGTGTTGATAACGGGGCGCTTGGGCACCCTGGGGTGGGGCACCGGGGTCAGGGGGCACCCCAAACCCCACCTCGATGCCCCACAATGTCCTGGCACTCCGCGGGCACCACCCCGTTTATCTGTGCCCCCTCCTTTGTGCACCCCACGGGCACCATCCCCTGCACCCCCCTCCCCACCCCCTGTGCCCCTACTCCTGCGGCCCTTCCTTATCCCTTGTGCCCTTCTCTTGGGCACCCCTTGGCAACCCATGGGCCCCATTCTTGGGGACCCCTTGGTCCCCTCTCCCTTTGGTGCCCCCACCCATGGGCACCCCTGGGGATCCTCCTTATCTGGTGTTCCAACCCCTTGGGCACCCCTGGGTACCCCATGGACCCCTCCCCCTGCACCCCCACCCCTGGGTACCCCCAATCCCCTGTGCCCCCCTTACCCTTGTCACCCCATGGGTCCAATTCCCTGTGCCCCCCCCCAACATGAGCATCCTCCCATCCCCTCTTCCCCCACTCCTGAGCACCCCATGGGCACCTTTGGGAACCCATGGGCCCCCTCCCCACCCTGTGTCCTCATCCTTGGGCAATCCACGTGTCCCCCACCCTCGAGCACCCATGGGCCCCTTCCCCATCCTGTTCCCCCGTCCTCAGCCACCCCATGTGTCCCCTCTCCCATTCCTGCCCAGCTCTCTGAGGACCGAGGACCCCCCCCAGTCCCTCCTCCCGGTACCCTCCCGATGGGTTCCCTCGCCCTGGCATCCCCCCTGCCTCGCCCAGCCCCCCATGCCTCCCCGCGCCCCCCGTGCCCCCCTCGGCGGTGGCACCGGAGGCTGCGCTTGTCGCTGTCGAAGCGTGGCGGGAGGAGCCCTGCCAGGGTGCGGTAGATGATGACGCTGGCGATTGCCTGGCCCTCGCCAAGGGCCGGGTGTCGCCTGTGCCGGGTCACCACGGTCACCTCTCCGTCCTCCTCCTCCTCCTCCTCCTCTTCGGCCTCTTCCTCCTCCTCCTCTTCCTTCTCCTGCCCGCCCGTGCCCGGCAGGGCCTGCCCGTGCCCGCTGGAGGGGCCTGGGGGGCACGGGTGGGGGGTGGCACCATGTGTCATGGCCGTCCCAGTGTCCCCCACCCTGCCACCCCCATGGCTATTTGGGGGTCCCCAACCCTGCCACCCCCATGGCCATATCAGTGTCCCCAGCCCTGTCACCCCATGGCCACCCAGAGATCTCTGTGGTGACACTGGGGTCTCCAACCCTGCCACCCCCATGGCCATAGCAGTGTCCCCAACCCTGCCACCCCCATGGCTACACTGGAGTCCCCATGGTGACAGTGGGGTCCCCAACCCTGCCACCCCCATGGCCACTCATGGTGACAGTGGCGTCTTCAGCCCTGCCAGACCCATGCCAGGGGGTCCCCCCAGCCCTGCCAGCCCCATGCTAGGAGTTCCCCATTCCTGCCAGCATCATGGATGCCAGGGGGTCCCCCATCCCTGCCAAACCCATGCCAGGGGCTCCCCATCCCTGCCAGCCCCATAGGTGCAAGGGGGTCCCCATCCCTGCCAGCCCTATGGTTGCCAGGGGGTCCCCCAGCCCTGGCAGCCCCCCTGTGCCCCCCAGACTCACGCCTGCCCTCAGGGGACCAGAAGACGCTGTCGGGCAGGATGACGGTGGTCTCCAGGTCTGAGGGCTTCTCCCCCCGCAGGGCCTCGTAGCGGGGCAGGCGGGCACCCGCTGGGCTGCTCTTGTCTAGCCGCACCACCGACACCACTGCGGCACCGATGGCATGGCATGGCACCCATGGCACGGCATGGCACCCACGGCACCCACAGCACCCACAGACCCCGGGGACATGGATCCCAGCACCTCCAGTCCCCAGCCCAGCCATGTCCCTAGAGTCCCCATGTCCCCAGCCCACCTCCGTCCCCAGCCCCCCCTGTCCCCAGCCTAGCCACATCCCCAGCCCCCGCATCCCCATCCCTGCCGTGTCCCCAGCCCCGCCTGTCCCCAGAGTCCCCCCTGTCCCCCGCCGTGTCCCCAGCCCCCCCCGTGCCCAGCCCCTGGGGGGGCACTGACCGATGTTGGGGGTGACGATGGTGAAGGGGCTCAGGTAGGTCTGGGGCATGTTCCGTGCCAGGGCCCGCGCGTACTCCTCGAAGTGCCGCAGCAGCTGGGCCGTGCCCCCCTCCGTCTGCTGGATCAGCTCCCAGTGCCGCTTGTTGTCCACGTCCAGCAGGGCACTGCCCACCCGTAGCAGGTTCTGGAGGCACGGCGGGGCGGTGGCATCGGGCTCTGCCACCCTGCTGGCCGGGAACAGGGTCCCCAACCCCACCCCGCCGTGCCACCCCCCTGCAGGGCTCTGCGGTGCCCTGGCACCCACAGCGGGGCATGGGGGGGGCTGTATCCACCCTCCCCACCGAAGGCGAGGGACACAAAGCCCTGCCCCCTCCATGAGGGTGCCCAGCATGCCAGGGCAGGGGCTCCAGCACTGACGCAGCTCCCCAGATAGGTTCCCATAGCCCACCTTGGGGCCTGGGCTCCTGGCCTGGTGTCATCCCCCAGGAGGGTGCCCATCGCCCCGGACTCTGGGCTCCTGTACCAATGTCCTTGCCAGGCGGATGCCCATCCCCCTGGCATCTGCTCTTCTGCCCCCCACATGAGGGTGCCCATCCCCCTGGTATGCAGCCTTCTGCACAACTTCCTCCTTCCTGGGAGTGCTCATGATTCCGGTGTCTGGGCTCTGGCTCACCCACATGTGGATGCCCATCACCCCAGCCTTTGGCCTCCATCCCCAGTCCCCCCTTCACAGGCAGGTGCCCCCCACCCTGGCATCCTGCCCCCACGTGAGGGTGCCCAGCACCCTGGTGTCTGGGCTCCTGCCCCAATATCCGTCCCTGTCCTGGTGCCCATTGCCCTGGCATCTGACTTCCTACACCAACACCCCCGCCCAGATGGGTGCCCATCACCTCTGGGCTCCTGCACCCACAGGGGGGTGTCCATCAGTGTCTGGGCTCCTTCCCCAACTCCCCCTGCCAGGAGGGTGCCCATCCCCCTGGTACCCACATTCCTGCATCCCCCTGCACCTTCCTCCTGCACATAGGAGTGCCCCCCAACCTGGTGGTGAGTGCCCCCCACCCTGAGAGTGAATGCCCCATGCCCTGGCAGTGAGTGCCCCACACCCTGGCATCTCCCCTCCCTTCCCCCCCCCTCCCCTCCCACCCCCTCCCCATGCCACCCTCCACCTCCCACCCTCCTCCCCTCCCCTTTCCCACCCCTCCCCATACCGTGCCCACCCTGATGCCCCTCTCCCACCCCGTGCTCACCCTGGTAGCCCCTCTCCCACCCTCTCCTCCCCAGGCCGTGCCCCCTGCAGTGCCCCCGCCTCACCTCGGTGAAGTGCACGTCTTGCGTGGCGGCGAGGCGGAAGCCGCGCTGGCGGCTCTCGTGGCGCAGCAGAGCCCCTGCCAGGCGGTATGCCAGGCGCACGTCGCTGCCGAAGTACCCGCGGGTTCCACGCGTGGCCTCGCGCAGCGCCAGCGCCACCCGGCGCGACTGCCCTGCGTCCCAGCGCGACTCGTTGCCCACCAACTGCTCTGCCTGGGGGGGACACGCGGGCTCAGGGTGGCACCGGTGGCACCGCGGGGGGGCGCAGGTGTGGTGGCGGGTGCCGGCGCGGCTCACCCAGGGGCGCAAGGCGGCGAAGGCCAGGGCACTGCAGTTGAAGAGGTTGGGGGGTAGCCACCCCTTGTGCTCGTCGCAATGGCGCAGGGCCGTACCTGGGGGGGACACTCAGGTGGCACCGCCGCGGGCACGGCAGGGAGGGCACCACAGGGGTGTGTCGTGTTGGCAGTGCCATCACAGCAGTGCCCCCCCGGTGCCGTCTTCGGTGGGGGCTGGGGGGGGTCGGCCCAGCCCGACTTGGTCTCTGTGGTGGCACCGTGGTGGCACCGCCCCAAACCCATCCTAATTGTGCCACCACAGTGTCACAACCCCAACCCTGCAGTGCCACCAGTGTCACCACCCCAAATCTATCACAGTAATGCCACCATAGAGTCACCGCCCTAAACCTATCCCAGGGGTGCCACCACAGTGCCACTGGTCCAAAGCCATTCTAATTGTGCCACCACTGTGTCAGCCCCCTGCCCTGTCCCAGCAATGCCACCACGGTGTCATCCCACCCCAACCCCACCTCAGCAATGCCACCACTCTGTCATCCCCCAGTTGCACCCCAGCAATGTTATCATGATGTCACCACCCCAACCCCATCCCAGAGGTGCCACCATGGTGTCACCTCCCTGTACCACTCCAGCAATGCCACCACAACTCCCTCCTGCCCCATCCCAGCAATGCCACCATTGTGTCATCCCACCCCAAACCCATGCCAGCTGTGCCACCATCATGTCACCCCCTAGCCCTGTCCCACTGGTGCCACCACAGTGTCACCACCCCAATCCCATCCCAGTGGTGCCACCACAGTGTCACCTCCCTGCCCTGCCCCAGCAGTGCCAGCACTCTGTCACCCTCCCAAGTTCCACCCCAGCAATGCCAACATGGTGTCATCCCACCCCAAACCCATCCCAGCTGTGCCACCATCATGTCACCCCCCTGCCCTGTCCCACTGCTGCCACCACAGTGTCACCATCCCAATCCCATCCCAGTGGTGCCACTACTCTGTCACCCCCCCCCAGCTCCATCCCAGCAATGCCACGACAGTGTCCCCAGTGCCACCCCACCCTGTGCCTGTGTCCCCACATACCCACGGAGCCCTTGGGACAGGGTGCGGCTGCTGGGAGCCCAAACCGGGTGCGGGGCCACCAGATGTTGGCCTCGATGGTCCGGGGACAGCTGTCATAGTTCACTGCGGGCACAAGGGTGTCACCGGGGCATAGCGGGCACGGAGGGGGACAGTGGGGTCACCAGGGGGACAGAGGGACACAGGGGGACAGCAGGGTCACCAGGGGGCAGACGGACACAGGGGGACAGTGGGACACAGAAGGACAGCAGGGCACACAGGGGGACAGTGGCTGACACAGGGAGACACAAAGTGACACAAGGTGACACAAAGTGGCACAACACGATAAAGTGACACGAAGTGACAAGGTGACATGAGGTGACACGCGGTGACACGCAGTGGTACAGGGCCCCCGTGCGGTGCCCACCTTCGCAGCCGCCCGCTGTCACCTCGGCGAAGGGGTTGTCACAGCGGTCGCAGTGGCGGCCGATGACCCCTGCCTTGCAGAGGCACTGCCCGCTGGTGGCATCGCAGCGCCGCGACAGCGATCCCGTGGGGTAGCACTCGCACGGCTGGCACGTGTCACTGCCCGCGGGACGGTAGTGGTTGTCCTGGGGAGGGCAGCAGGGGGAGGGCAGCGGGTCACTGTGGGCACCGGGGGGCAGGGGGAGGACAGGGGGTGACAGGGGAGGACAGAGGGTCATGGCAGGCACGGGGGGGGCAGGGGGGGACAGGAGGTGAGAAGGGGGACAGAGGAGGACAGGGGGTCACTGCGGGCACAGAGGGGACAGAGGGTGGCAGGGGAGGGATTGGGGAGCAGGGGATGACAGGGGTGGCAAAGGGTGACAAGGGGTGACAGGAGGGTAGGGGGTGACAGGGGGTCTCAGGGAGTGGTAGAGGGTGGCAGAGGATGACAGGGTATAGTAGAGGGTGGCAGGGAGTCACAGGGTGTTACAGGAGGTGGCAGGAGGTGATGGGGGTCACAGGGGCTGACACGGGGTCACAGGGGGTGGAAAGGGTGGCAGAGGGTGACACGGGGGCAGGGGGTCACCACGGGAATGGTGGGGAGGGGGCAGGCAGTAGCAGGAGGTGACAAGGGGTGGCAGAGGGTGACAGCGGGTCACGAGGGGGTCACAGAGGGTCACAGGGACTGGCAGGAGGTGACAGGGAGTGTCAGGGATCACTGCGGGCATGGGGGGACAGAGGGAGTGGCAGTGGGTGGCAGGTGGTGGCAGGGCGTGGCAGGGGGGTCATTGTGGGCACGAGAGTGTGACAGGGGGCCGCAGACAGTGCCACGGGGTGGTAGGGGGGTGCCAGGGGGTGGAAGAGGTGGTAAAAAGTGGCAGTGGGGTGCCCAGGAGTGCCAGGAGGTGGCAGGTGATATGGGGTGACAGGGGGCACAAGAGGTCACTGAGGGCACGGGGGAATGACAGGGGGTGGCACAGGGTCACTGAGGGCACAGGGGGGTGACAGGGGGTGGCAGGGAGTGGCAGGTGGCACCAAGGGGGTGCCAGTCCCACCTTGCAGTGACACTCGCCCGTGGTCTTGTTGCAGTCGGGGTCGAAGCCCCTCGAGGCATCACAGCTGCAGGGGCCACACGTGGGGTGTCCCCACCACCCCCGTGGGCACGGCTGGGCCTCCCTGTGGGCACTAGGGCTGGCACCGGGGGGGGGCACCGCCTTGGGTACCCCCACGGGGCCACTCGGACACCCCTCCATGTCCCCTTTGCCCCCACAGTGTCACTCGGACCTCCACGGTGACACTTGTGTCCCCACAATGCCCCTTGGACCCCCACAGTGCCCCTTGTGCCCCCACAGTGCCCCCTGCACCCTCATAGTACCCCTTGGACCCCCAGAGTGCCCCCTGGATCCCCATCCTGACCCTTGCCCACCCATTGTACCCCCACGTGCCCACACTGCCCTATCCATACCTTGCCCGCCCTCCCCAATCCCCCCCCAGTGTCCCCACAGTGTCACCCACCGGTGCTGGCACAGGGTGCCGAAGGTGCCCGAGGGGCAGTGGCAGGTGTAGCCGGGGGCCGTGCCCGGCCGGCGGGCACACGTGCCCGGGGGCTCGCAGGGGTCCAGGGCACAGGCGCTGACACAGTTGTCCCCAAAGTACCCTGGGCATGGGCACGGGCACGGCGTTGGGGACACGGTCTTGGGGACATGGCATCGGGGACACAGCGGGCATCGGGGGGGCAGGGACGGGGACAGAGGGGCAGGGATAAAGGGGTGGCAGTGCCCAGGGAAAGTGGGACAGGGACAAGGGGATGGCAGTGCTCTGGGGACAGTGATAAGGGGTGGCAGTGCCCAGGGGACAGTGCTGGGGGTGGCAGTGCCCAGGGAGGGTGCAGTGCCCTGAGGGGCAGGGAGGATGTTAGGGGGGTCTCTGCCCACCAGCGTGGCACTGGGGGTGTCACAGGGGTGTCACTGTCCTAGGAAGTGTCAAGGGGGTGTCAGGGGGTGTTGGAGGGGGTCGCTGCTCACCAGGGTGGCACGGGGGGGGGGGGCTGTGGCCCCCGGGGCGGCAGGGGGGGGGGGGGGGGCAGGGCCCCGAGTCGCAGGGGTCGGGCAGGGCACAGCCCCCCTCCACGTTCACCTGGGCAGCCTGTGCCAGGCTCAGGGCACCCACCGTCACAGACGTGTCCCCCATGCGCAGCCCCTGCGGGGTCACCCATCAGTGCCCCCCACTGAGAGCCAAGACACCCCACGCGCTACCCCTGACACGCCCCCCCCCCCAGTGTCCCTCAGTGCCACCCGGGACCCCCCGAGACACCCGAAACTCCTTTCCGGTGTCACCCCTCCACGATGTCCTCCCACTGTGACATGGGACCCCCTGGGACAACCCAGACCCCACTGCATTGTGTCACTCTCTCTCCTCCCTGTGCCCCCCGTGCCCCCTGTGCCCACCCCGCACCCACTGTGCCCCCCGGTGCCCCGTTAGCTGCAGGTAACCCTGGAATCCATCCTCCCCATGGCCCCCTGGTGCCCCCTCCGTGCCCCCCCAGTACCTTTCATTCCCCCCGTGCCCCCTGTGTCCCCCCCTGCCCTGTTACCTGCAGGCACCCCCGGAATCCCTCCTCCACAGTTCCCCCTTCCCCGGGCAGCCCCCCAAGGCTGAGGGTCCGCAGCCGCAGCCCCTGCAGCTCCCCGGGCACGTCGCCCACCGCCTGTGGGGGGCACAGGGACAGCCGTGGGTGCCTTGGGGTGGCACGGAGGGTGCCGCGGTGGCACCCATGGGGGTCGGCAGGGCGGGTTCCCCCCACCTGGTGTCGGCCGTAGTCGAGGGTGAGGAGGAGGAGGGTGGCGGGGGGGTCGCGGCCGGGCCCGCCCCCCCGCAGCTCCAGCTCTGCGTGGTGCCAGGCACCGTCGTCTACCTTGGCTTGGGGCAGGCGCAACACGGCCAGGCGGGCACCCCCCTGCCAGGCCCCCACCTCCAGCTGCCCCTCGCTCAGCTGCGGGGGGGGCACACGTCAGGGACCCCGAAAACCTGGGGGGGCACCGGGAAATACACCACACCCCCCCCCCC